GTGTTAGCCAGGCTGGTCTTGAACTCCTGACCTTGGGATCCACCTGCCTCAGCCTCCCAAAGTGCTGAGATCACAGGTGTGAGCCACCATGTGCCCAGCCTACAGGCTAATTTCTTTAATTCCTGTTCTAATACCTGGGGAACTTTTTTTTTTTTTTTTTTTTTGACACAGAGTCTAACTCTGTTGCCCAGGCTGGAGTGCAGTGGCGCAACTTTGGCTCACTGCAAGCTCTGCCTCCCAGGTGCATGCCATTCTCCTGCCTCAGCCTCCCAAGTAGCAGGGACTACAGGTGTCCGCCACCATGCCTGGCTAAATTTTTTGTATTTTTAGTAGAGATGAGGTTTCACTGTGTTAGCCAGGCTGGTCTTGAACTCCTGACCTTCGGTGATCCACCTGCCTCAGCCTCCCAAAGTGCTGAGATCACAGGTGTGAGCCACACCATGCCCAACTTTACAGGCTTGTTTCTTTTAATTCCTGTTCTAATACCTGGGAACTTTTTTTTTTTTTTTTTTTTTTTGACACAGAGTGCTCTGTTGCCCAGGCTGGAGTGCAATGAAAACACGTCTCCAGCTCACTGCAACCTCTGCTTCCCAGGTTTTTTTTTGACACAGAGTCTAACTCTGTTGCCCAGGCTGGAGTGCAATGGCTCGATCTCAGCTCACTGCAACCTCTGCTTCCCAGGTTCAAGTGATTCTCCTACTTCAGCTTCCCGAGTAGCTGAGAGTATAGCTGGGTGCCACCATGCCCGGCTAAATTTTGTATTTTTAGTAGAGATAGAGTATCGCCATGTTAGCCAGGTTGGCCTTAAACTTCTGACCTCAAGTGATCCATCCACCTCAGCCTCCCAAAGTGCTGGGATTACAGGCATGAGCCACTGCACCTGGCTGGAAAAATTTATTATTGTTATTATTTGAGATAGGGTCTCACTCTGTTACCCAGGCTGAAGTATAGTGGCATGATCTTGGTTCACTGCAACCTCTGCCTCCCGGCCGCAAGCAGTCTTCCTACTTCAGCTCATGAGTAGCTGGGACCACAGGTACATGCCATCACAATCTGCTAAGTTTTTGTAGTTTTAGTAGAGATGGGGTCTTGGTATGTTGCCCAGGCTGCTCTCAAACTCCTGAGCTCAAGCCACTTGCCTGTAGTCCCAGCTACTCAGAGAGATGAGGTGGGAGGGTCACTTGAGCCTAGTAGTGTAGAGGCTGCAGTGATAGTGTCAATGCAGCAAAAGTGCTGGGATTAAAGGTGTGAGCCACCATGCCTGACCGCTGTGAGAAAATTTTAAAAACGAGCATAAATGGCCGGGCACGATGGCTCATGCCTGTAATCCCAGCATTTTGGAGGCCGAGGAGGGTGGATCACCTGAGGTCAGGAGTTCAAGACCAACCTGGCCAACATGGTGAAACCCTGTCTCTACTAAAAATACAGAATTAGCCGGGCACGGTAGCACATGCCTGTAATCCCAGCTACTCACTACTCAGGAGGCTGAGGCAGGAGAATCACTTGAACCCGGGAGGCAGAGGTTGCAGTGAGCCAAGCTCACACCACTGCACTCCAACATGGGCAACAAGAGCAAAACTCCATCTCAAAAAACAAAACAAAACAAAAAAACAAGAATAAAAAACTGAGCAGACACATTAGCAGCTGCACACTGTGGAATGATAGACTCTACAGTTTAACTCCAGACAAATCACACACACACACACACACACACACACACACACACACACACACACACCAGCATCACCAGCATCACCAGCATCACCACCATTCAGAAAAATACAACAGAATTCAGACTTATTACAGTCTATTATCTAAAATGATCAGTTTTTTAGGGGAGGAAGAGGAGGATAAAATGACCAGTTTTCAACAAAAAATTATAACACATGCAAAGAAACATAAAAAACAGTAACTCATATCCTGATTTTAAAAGTCAATAAAAACTATCCGGGCACAGTGGCTCACGCCTGTAATCCCAGCACTTTGAGAGGCTGAGGTGGGTGGATCACCTGAGGTCATATTTTTGAGGCCAGACTGGTCAACATGTTGAAACCCCATCACTACTAAAAATACAAAAATTAGGCCGGCCGCGGTGGCTCAAGCCTGTAATCCCAGCACTTTGGGAGGCCGAGACGGGCGGATCACGAGGTCAGGAGATCGAGACCATCCTGGCTAACATGGTGAAACCCCGTCTCTACTAAAAATACAAAAAACTAGCCGGGCGAGGTGGCAGGCGCCTGTGGTCCCAGCTACTCGGGAGGCTGAGGCAGGAGAATGGCGTGAACCTGGGAGGCGGAGCTTGCAGTGAGCTGAGATCCGGCCACTGCACTCCAGCCTGGGCGACAGAGTGAGAATCCGTCTCAAAAAAAAAAAAAAAAAATACAAAAATTAGCCAGGTGTGGTGATGGGCGCCTATAATCCCAGCTACTGGGGAGGCTGAGGCAGGAGAATTGCTTGAACCCAGGAGACAGAGGTTGCAGTGAGCTGAGATCATTCCACTGCACTCCAGCCTGGGCGACAGAGCAACACTCCTTCTCCAAAAAAATAAAAAATAAAAAATAAAAACTGAGGCCAGGCGCAGTGGCTCATGCCTGTAATCCCAGCATTTTGGGAAGCCGAGGCAGGCGGATCTCGAGGTCAGGAGATTGAGACCATCCTGGCTAACACGGTGATACCCCGTCTCTACTAAAAATACAAAAAAATTAGCCAGGCATTGTGGCAGGTGCCTGTAGTCTCAGCTACTTGGGAGGCTATGCCAGGAGAATGGCGTGAACCCGTGAGGCAGGGCTTGCAGTGAGCCAAGATGGCACCACTGCACTCCAGCCTGGGCAACAGAGCGAGACTCTATCTCAAAAAAAATAAATAAATAAATGAAGGGGTGGCCTGCCCCTCCAAACCTGTGGGCATTTCTCGTTAGGTGGAACAAGAGACTTAAGTAAAGAAATGAAACAGAGACAAAGTATAGAGAAAGAAAAAGTGGGCCCAGGGGACTGGGGCTCAGCATACAGAGGACCCGCGCCAGCACCGGTCTCTGAGTTCCCTCAGTATTTATTGATCATTATCTTTACCATCTCGAAAAAAGGGAAGTGGCAGGATAATAGGATCATTGTAGGGAGAAGGTCAGCAGTAAGACATACGAATAAAGATCTCTGTGACATGAATACGTTTAAGGAAAAGTGCTGTGCCTTGATATGAATATGCAAACATCTCCATAAACCTTTTTAGTGCATAAAGAGCAGCATTGCTGCTAGCACATCCCACCTTCAGCCCTAAGGTGGTTTTCTCCTTTCTCAGTAAATAGAAAATACAATCGGGTTTTACACCGAGATGTACCATTGCCCAGGGATGGGCAGGAGACAGATGCCTTTCTCTATCTCAACTGCTAAGAGGCCTTCTTTCCTCTTATATTAATCCTCCTCAGCACAGACCCTTCATGGGTGTCAGGCTGGGGGACTTTCCCTTCCCATGAGGCCATATTTCAGACTATTACATGCAGAGAAACCTTGGACAATACCTAGCTTTCCTAGGCAGAGGTCCCTGCGACCTTCCACAGTATGCGTGTCCCTGGGTACTTGAGATTAAGAGAATGGTGATGACTTTTCACAAGCATACTGCCTTCAGGCACTTGTTTAACAAAGCACATCCTGCCCAGCCCTAAATCCATCAAACCTTGAGTCACCACAGCACATGTCTCTTGCAAGGACAGGGTTGGGGGTAGGGTCACAGATTAACAGTATCTCAAATACAGAGCAAAATGGAGTCTCTTATATCTACTTCTTTCTATATAGACACAGTAACAGTCTGGTCTCTCTTTCTTTTCCCTACAAATAAATGAAAATAAAAACTGATTCTGAGTAGGCCTAGAAATTGAATTTGGCAGACAAAGATTTTAAAGCACATATTATAAATATGTTCAAGGAATTAAATAAAAACGTTAAACAATGACTCAATAAATACGGAATCTCAATAGAGAAATAGAAGCTATAAAAAAGAATCAAACAGAAATTCTAGAATTATAAAGTATAATAACTGAAATGAAAATTTTACTAAATGAACCCGACAGCAGATTTAAGATGGCAGAGGAAAAAATTAATAAACTTGAAGATAGATGAGTAATAATAATCTAGTCTGAATGATAGAGACAAAAATGATTGAAGGAAAGTGAAGAGCTGGGTAGAGTGGCTCACACCTGTAATCCCAGCACTTTGGGAGGCTGAGGCAGATAGATTGCTTGAGCCCAGGAGTTCAAGACCAGCCTGGGCAACATGATGAAGCCCTATCTCTACAAAACTTACAAAAGTAAGCTGGATATGGTGCTGTGCCCCTGTAGTCCCAACTACTTGGGAGGCTGAGGCAGAAGAATCGCTTGAGCCTGGGCGGTCAAGGCTGTAGTGACCATGTTCATGTCACTGCACTCCAGCCTAGGTGACAAAGCAAGGCTGTCTCAAAAAAAGAAACAAAAAAAACAAAAAACAAAAAACAAAAACGAAAAAAAAAAAAAGCCTCAGAGGCCAGTGGTACATCAAGCATGTCAATATACATGTAATACATGTCCAGAAGAGAGGAGACAAAGGGTCAGAAAAAAGTAGCTGAAAAAATAATAGCCAAAGGCCAGGTGCAGTGGCTCACACCTGTAATCCCAGTACTTTAGAAGGCCAAGGCAGGCACATCACAAGGTCAAGAGACTGAGACCATCCTGGCCAACATGGTGAAACCCCATCTTTACTGATAATACAAAAATTAGCCAGGTGTAGTGGTGGAGGCCTGTAGTCCCAGCTACTCAGGAGGCTGAGGCAGGAGAATCGCTTGAACCCAGGAGGCAGAGATTGCAGTGAAGTGAGATCTCGCCACTGAACTCCAGCCTGGTGACAGAGTGAGATTCCACCTCAAAAAACAAAACAAAAATAATAATAATAGCCAAACATTTTTCAAATTTGATGAAAAACATTACAGATCTAAGAATCGCAATAAACCTCAAATACCTAGACACATCATAGTCAACTTGTTTAAAGACAATTGGCTACTAAAATTTGAACAGCTCAAGAGAAGATTAGTCAGGCTCTTGTACAAGAATGGTATGCAAATTTGTGAAGTATTCCATATTTTTACATGTAAGTAAAAGAAAAAATGAAAGCAAATGTGCTATATATATAGAGTAATACTACTGTGTTAAGTACACAGATGCATATTAAAAAAGTCTGAGCATGGAAGAATGAATTTAAAAATAAGTGATTACAATAAAAAAGACAAAAATATATTTAAAGCAACAAGAAAAAAAGACTCATCAAATACGGGGGAAGAAGTACACAATTAACGGCAGACTTCTCATCAGAAACAATAGAGACCAGGAGGCAATGGAATGAGATATTTTAAGAGCTGAAAGAAAATTAGGGCCATGTGTGGTGGCTCATGCCTGTAATCTCAGCACTTTGGGAAGCCAAGGCAGGTGGATCACTTGAGCCCAGGAATTTGAGACTAGCCTAGACAACATGGCAAGGCACCATCCCTACATAAAATTTTTTAAAAATTAGCCAGTTGTTCCAGCCTGGCCAACATGGCAAAACCCTGACTATAATAAAAATACAAAAAAAAATTAGCCAGGTGTGGTGGCTAACACCAGTAATCCCAGCACTTTGGGAGGCCAAGGTGGGTGGATCACTTGAAGTCAGGAGTCTGAGACCAGCCTGGCCAACATGGCAAAAACCTGTCTCTACTGAAAATACAAAAAATTAGCTGGGTGAGGTGGCGGGCACCTGTAATGCCAGCTACTCGGGAGGCTGAGGCAGGAGAATCACTTGAAGCTGGGAGGCGGAGGTTGCAGTAAGCCAAGATCACACCACTGCACTCCAACCTGGGTGACAGAGTGAGACTTGATGTCAAAATAAATAAAAAGGCCGGGCATGGTGGCTCACGCCTGTAATCCCAGCACTTTTGGAGGCTGAAGTGGGCAGATCACAAGGTCAGGAGATCGAGACCATCCTGGCTAACACTGTGAAACCCTGTCACTACTAAAAATAAAAAAAAATTAGCCAGGCGTGGTAGCAGGCGCCTGTTGTCCCAGCTGCTTGGGAGGCTGAGGCAGGAGAATGGCGTGAACCCGGGAGGTTGAGCTTGCAATGAGCTAAGATCATGCCACTGCACTCCAGCCTGGCTGACAGAGGTGAAGGGGTGGCCTGCCTCTCCACACCTGTGGGCGTTTCTCGTTAGGTGGAACAAGAGACTTGAGAAAAGAAATGAGACACAGAGACAAAGTATAGAGAAAGAAAAAGTGGGTCCAGGGGACCAGTGCTCAGCATACAGGAGACCCACGCCGGAACCGGTCTCTGAGTTCCCTCAGTATTTATTGATCATTATCTTTTTTTTTTTTTTTGAGACTGAGTCTCGCTTGGTCGCCCAGGCTGGAGTGCAGTGGCCGGATCTCAGCTCACTGCAAGCTCCGCCTCCTGGGTTTACACCATTCTCCTGCCTCAGCCTCCCGAGTAGCTGGGACTACAGGCGCCCGCCACCTCGCCCCGCTAGTTTTTTGTATTTTTTTTAGTAGAGACAAGGTTTCACTGTGTTAGCCAGGATGGTCTCGATCTGCTGACCTCGTGATCTGCCCATCTCGGCCTCCCAAAGTGCTGGGACTACAGGCTTGAGCCACCACGCCTGGCCATTGATCATTATCTTTACCATCTTAGAAAAAGGGAAGTAGCAGGATAATAGGATCATCGTAGGGAGAAAGTCAGCAGTAAGATATATGAATAAACATCTCTGTGACATAAGTTTAAGGAAATGCTGTGCCTTGATATGCATATGCAAACATCTCCATAAACCTTTTTAGGGCATAAAGAGCAGCATTGTGCTAGCAAGTCCTGCCTTTCACCCTAAGGTGGTTTTCTCCTTTCTCAGTAAATAGAACTTACAATCGGGTTTTACACCGAGATGTTCCATTGCCCAGGGACGGGCAGGAGACAGATGCTTTTCTCTATCTCAACTGCCAAGAGGCCTTGTTTCCTCTTATATTAATACTCCTCAGCACAGACCCTTCATGGGTGTCAGGCTGCGGGACGATCAGGTCTTTCCCTTCCCATGAGGCCATATTTCAGACTATCATATGGGGAGAAACCTTGGACGATACCTAGCTTTCCTAGGCAGAGGTCCCTGTGACCTTTGGCAGTGTACGTGTCCCTAGGTACTTGAGATTAAGAGAATGGTGATGACTTTTAACCAGCATAGTGCCTTCAGGCACTTGTTTAACAAAGCACACCCTGCACAGCCCAAAATCCTTTAAACCTTGAGTCACCACAGCACATGTCTCTTGCAAGGACAGGGTTGGGGGGTAGGGTCACAGATTAACAGCATCTCAAATACAGAACAAAATGGAGTCTCTTATGTCTTCTTCTTTCTATATAGACATGGTAATAGTCTGACCTTTCTTTTCCCCACACAGAGGGAGACTCCATCTCTAAATAAATATGTAACAAAATACAAAAAATTAACTGGGCATGACGGTGCATGCCTATAGTCCCAGCTACTTGGGAGCCTGAGGTATGAGAATTACTTAAACCTAGGAGGCGGAGGTTGTAGTGAGCCAAGATGGCACCACTGCACTCCAGCCTCCAGCCTGGGTGACAGATTGAGACTCTGTCTCAAAAAAAAAAAAAAAAAAAAAGTTGTAAGGGATAACGCTAAAGCAATGCTTAGAAGATTTGTAGCTTAAATGCCTTTAGTAGAAAGAAAGAAAGGTCTACCATCAATAATCTAGGTTGGGTATGGTGGCTCACGCCTGTAATCCCAGCACTTTGTGAGGCTGAGGCGGGTGGATTACCTGAGGTCAGGGGTTTGAGACCAGCCAGGCCAACATGATGGAACCCTGTCTTTACTAAAAATACAAAAACTAGCTGGGTGCAGTAGCACACACCTGTAATCCCAGCTACTCGGGAGGCTGAGACAGGAGAATTGCTTGAACCTGGGAGGCAGAGGTTACAGCTGGCCAACATTGCACCACTGCATTCCAGCCTGGGTGACAGAGCAAGACTCTATCTCAAAAAAATAAAAAATAAAATAAAATAAAATAAATAATCTAAACTTTCACTTCAAGAAGCTGGAAAAATAAGAGTAAATCAAACATAAAGTAAATAGAAGAAAGAACATAATAAATGCCAGACTGAAAAATCCATGAAATAGAAAACAAAAACTTTAGAGAAAAGCAATTAAACAAAAACTTGGTTCTTTGGAAAGATCAACAAAACAGACATATCTTTAGCTAGATTGCCCAAGAAAAGAGGAAAGAACATACAAATTACCAAAATCAAGAATGAAAGAAGGGACATCTTGTCCGAGTGTGATGGGTCATGCCTGTAATCCCAGCACTTTGGGAGGCCAAGGCGGGCAGATCAACTGAGGTCAGGGGTTTGAGATGAGCCTGGTCAACATGGGGAAACCCTGTCTCTGTTAAAAACACAAAAAAAGTAGCCAGACATGGTGGCGAATGCTTGCAGTCCCAGTTACTCAGGAGGCTGAGGCAGGAGAATCACCTGAACCCAGGAGGTGGCATCTGCGGTGAGCTGAGATCGTGCCAATGCACTCTAGCCCGGGTGGCAGAGCGAGATTCCGTCAAAAAAAAGAAAGGAAGGAAGTATGGAAGGAAGGAAGGGAGGGAGGGAGGGAGGAAGGAAGGAAGGAAGGAAGGAGACATCTCTTTAGACCCTAGAAATTAAAAGGATAATAAAGAAATATTATGAATGTATATGTATGCCAACAAGTTAGGGAATTTACCATTTTTTGGATTTTTTTTTCCTGATCAAATGGCTCAGATTGTTGAGAATTTAAATGATATGGAGAAAACCCTAGAAAGAGACAAATTAGAAAAGCTAACTAAAGAAAGAATAAAAGAAAATCCAAATAGACCTATACCAAGTAAAAGGAAAAGAATTTGGATTTAAAATCATCCCACAAGAAAATGCCCAGGCCCAGATGCTTTATTGCTAAATTGTATCAACACTTAAAGAACAGGCCAGGTACGGTGGCTCACGCCTGTAATCCCAGCACTTTGGGAGGCAGAGGCGGGTGGATCACCTAAGGTCATGAATTCAAGACCAGCCTGGCCAACATGGTGAAACCCTGTCTCTACTAAAAATACAAAAATTAGCAAAGTATGGTGGCTCACACCTGTAATCCCAGCTACTTGGAAGGCTGGAGCAGGAGAATTGCTTGAACCTGGAAGGTAGAGGTTGCAGTAAGCCAAGATCGCACCACTGCACTCCAGCCTGGGCAACAGAGCAAGACTCTGTCTCAAAACAAACAAACAAAAACAAAAACAAAAAGAAAAAGAAAAAGAAAAGAAAAAAAAGCAAAATAAGAGGATAAAGAGAGGCCAGGCACGGTGGCTCACGCCCGTAATCCCAGAATTTTGGGAGGCTGAAGTAGGCGGATCACTTGAGCTCAGAAGTTGACCAGCTTGGACAACATAAGGAGACCCCCGCCTCCACAAAAAAAATTTAAAATTAGGGCCAGGCGAGGTGGCTCACGACTATAATCCCAGTACTTTGGGAGGCTGAATCAAGCAGATCACCTGAGGTCAGGAGTTTGAGACCAGGCTGGCCAACATGGCGAAAATTACTAAATTTGTACTAAAATTATAAAAATTAGCCAGGTATGGTGGTGGGCACCTGTAATTCCAGGTACTCAGGAGGCTGAGGCAGGATAATCACTTGAACCCGTGAGGCAGAGGTTGCAGTGAGCTGAGATCGCACCACTGCACTCCAACCTGGGTGACAGAGTGAGACTCCATCTCAAAAAAAAAAAAAGAAAAAAAATCTCCTAAAAAATGCTTTATGTTTGTATACAAAGAAAGAGTCACATTCTGAGATCATATACTTTTTTTTTTTTTTTTTTTTTTTTGGGATGGAGTCTCACTCTGTCGCCCAGGCTGGAGTGCAGTGGCACAATCTCGGCTCACTGCAACCTCCACCTCTCAGGTTCACGCCATTCTCCTGCCTCAGCCTCTCGATTAGCTGGGACTACAGGCGCCTGCTACCGCACCCTGAGGTCAGGAGACCAGCCTGGCCAACATGGCGAAATCCCGTCTCTACTAAAAATACAAAAAAAAAAAAAAAAATTAGC